AGGGTTGCGATCCGTTGCCGGTCACAAAAAAAGACAAAAAGGAAAAAAAAAAAAAGAAACATGCAAGGATAATGGGGCCTGGGATTTGCAAAGTGAAACAAGATAAGCCATGAATTGATCACTGTTGAAGCGGGGTGATGGGTACACGAGGGTTTATTATGTTGTTCTCATTACTTTTGTTTACATATAAATTTTTCCATAATAAATTATAAAAAGTTAAATTTAGGAATTCTGTCAAGTGAAGGTACAAAGAGCCAGTGGCCATCACAGGTCCCCTGTGTACATGGCACTTAAAACTGGATCTTCACACAACCCAGTCAGCCATTGGCTTGTGGATTTATCTTATCTCCCTCCTTTCCATTTGTGTGTGGACTCCAAATCACAGTCCCTTATAGTCTTCATGAACTTGAACAAGTTCCCTCATGTCCCTGAACCACTCTCTGAAAAATGGGGATGATAACATCTGATGTTGTGAGGATAAATTTTGTGCAATGTTGTGAGGATTAAATTTGACGGCGTATGTGGAAGTGTCTAACACAGCCCGCAGAGGTCAGGAAGGTAATAACATAAATGAATGGAGCTGACCAGGTGGAAGAAAATCACGTGACCCTCTTGATCTGTCTACAGCTTTGCCACATTTAGTAGACATACACGTAGGAAGAATTACAAGGAGAATTCTATTCTATAAGAAAAAGAACAGTGCAAGCATGACAATACATGATGGAAATTATCCATATTCAAAAATAAATGGGTCATAAACTGAGGCTTTGCCTCAGTGTTGGGAGTAATAGAGAGTGGTGGGGATTGGGGCAAACCAGAGCATGCAGGCCCCATCTGCAAGAGGCAGTCTTCCTGAGCCCCAGCAGATTGCTGCCAAGAGGGAATGTGGAGCCAAAGTTAACATGTCTTCCTGTTTTACAAGAGAAGCGAGAACTCTAAATTTTTATGTGAAATCTCCCAATTCTTAAATTTGTCCTCAATTATTTTTTTAAAAAACACTACCAAAGCCAAACTAAGCCCATTTATGGGCCAAGATCAGCTCATGAGCTTCCAAAGTGCAAACTCTCACTTAGATAATGGTATATAATGTAAATTAGTTTCCCTTCCCCCTCTTTTTATCTTCCTCCTCTAACTTTCTCCTTTCCCTGCCACTGTCCACATCCCTTTTTCCTAACCACCCTCACCCTTCATTTCTGTACTAAGTCCAAGTGGTGGAATGGATTGAAGTGGGTTGAAGAAGTGATTAGGTCCAAGGGAATGTGGTCTAGATACCGAATCGTGCCCCAGGGTCTAGATCAGTGCCTGGCTCTCAGTGGATCCTAACAAAAAACCCT